TCTACTCCATGAAAGTAGCCTTGAGAAATCTGTCCTTCCATCCGGGGTCTCATCCAAGCCCACCACGGCCAAGCCGTGTTTGCTAAACGAGGGCAGCTGAGAAATGATTAACGAAGGAATTCCAGACCTGGGAATGAGCTGGTTGCCAGCAGAAAAAAACCCTCAGATGTTATTTTGCCCCTGCTCAGGTCTCCGAAGCAGCAATCCCAAAAGGTCCTTTGAAAACAAGAGGGTCCATAACTCACTCCCTGCTTCCAAAGGCTTCCTGGGATCATTCCCAGCTCCCCAATTTTACACCCATTCGAACAGGTTAAAACTGCTTGTGTTGGATCAAGCCTGGAATTTGGTCCTCTTCATTTAACTCAGATTATTATTTATTATTTCTTTTCCCCCCCAAATTTTCCTTTTTTAAGGATCATTTTTCTCAGGTCAACTGAGATCAGTGGTAAATACCTGGTTATTGTCAATAGGGTTTGGCTTTTCTTCATCCAGACCCACCTCAAAACCAGGATGCTCAACTGAAAAAAGGGGAAAACCTGAAAATTTGGGGTAGATTGGTTTTATATTTGAATTACAAACGACTCATTTTCAGTGTTGATACTAGTAATAATATTAATAGCAATTAAAAAAGAGCCCCTTTGACTAAACACTGCCTGTTTCACCAGGTTTTTGGTAACTGGAAGACAACGAGAATGTAATGTTTAGGACTTGTTTTGCATGTCTCCACATATATGAGTCAGTCACACAGAACAGAAGCTTGTTAAAAAAAACAGATGACGGGTGCAACAATTATTTCCGTGGGTTTTTATTTCTTTTAATAGAAAATTCTAATATAAAACAACAAACGTTTTCAGTTTGCCTTGTTTACAAAAATATTATATATTTCTTTTTTTTTTTATATTTCTGACATAACTAAACGCACTATTCAATAAAAATATTCTTCCGTCAGCTAAATTCTCTTTTAAAAAAAAAAAATTAATAAAAAAGTTATATAAATAATGGTTGCACCCCCCCCCACCCACCCTCCCCCACCCCCAAAAACTGATCTCACAAGTCTTGCTGGATCAGCTGAGGAGAACCAACACTTTTTGGGGGGACAGGGGGTGGAAGGGGGTCAGAGACGTCCCCTCCACCCGCCTGTTCCTTTCTCCAGTTACATCTGAGCAAAAACCTGTTTCTCTGGGGGGCAAGAAAAAGGGGGAAAAGTTGCTTTGCACTTTTTTTTTCTTTTTTTTTTTTGTATATATCTATGAAATAACACCAGGGACCCAAATCCACGCTCGGAGTAGTTTACAAAAAAAAAAAAAAAAAAACAAAAGGAGCAATTCCACTGAATTGCACTGGTGGGGGTGAGGGGGGTGGGGTGGAATCACCTCTCTGGAAAAATCCAGTTGAATCCCAGCTGGAATAAAAAGAAGGTTTTCCAGGATGCTCCCCAATGTTTGATGAGGATTCTGTGTCTCTTTTACAGGAGCAGCACAAGCAGGAGCTGCTCCTCCAGGAGTTCCTTCAACTCCCACACACCTCGCTGACCCCCAGCAAACCCGCCGAGCACTCGGGAGGGTTCCGAGGGGGTTTTACATCTTCTCTTGTCTCCTCCCTACGGGATTTTTCCAAAACAAGGCTTTTCTCCCCCCCACCCACCCCTTTCCCTCCATTCTTTCCTCGAGGATAAGGCAAAACATTGGAAAACGCCGGAATTAAACAACCCCCTGCCCTAAACACACCCAACGTGGTGCAGGGTTGGGGCTGGGGGGAGGGAGAAGAAAAAATAACCCACATAATGTTTTTTTTACCACCCTAGGTCAAAAGGCCAAGAAGACAAAGTTCTCCTGATTTCAGAGTTGTTAGTATATTTTATACACTGCCTATACATTTAACACATGTGCCTCGCTACTGTTTTAGTCATTTATAATTTTTTTTTTTCTTTTTTTTTTTTAACCACAGGAGAATAAACCTCGCTATTTACAATATACAACAGGTAATATAACAACATTAACATAAATACAATTTTGTTGGGTTTTGGTTTTGGTTTTTTTTTTTTGTGGTGGTTTCGCGTTATTTTTTTTTTCTATTTTTTTTTTTGGTCTTTTTTTTTTCCTGCTTTTTTTTTTTTTTTGTAAATACTTACAGAAAGCATCCAGGCTTCAGTGCTGAGTTCTAACACACAGAAGAGCTCTTTCACTCAGTAGTTCATTCACTCTTTGCTGCTTTCTTCTAGTCAAGCTTTGACAATCTTGCCTCATTTCCCACCCAGCTCTCTCTCTCTCTCTCCCCCACACCAAACACACCGAGCTTCCCTATCCCATCCCACTCCAGCATTTTCCCTCCAAGGATATTTATGCCACCACCACCCTCTCTCCTGTCCTAGGGACTCATTCTCCTCTCACACCAGTGCAACGTGGATTTACTCCAGCCAAGGTCAATGGAGACAGAGACACCAGTGAAAAGAGGGAAAATGAGGCCCAGGGTTTAAATATAACAATAATAATAATAATAATAATAATTAATTAATAATAACAATAATAATGCACATAAGTTGCAGCCCATCCTTTAATTAAGGACTTTTTTTTTGCCTTTTTTTTTTTTTTTTTAATAAAAAGGATGGAGCCAGAAATAGGAATTCAGACCCCAAAATTCCTCGTGTCTTGAGGAGGTTTTGGGCCCAGCTTTAACAACTTTAGGAGGGGAAGAGCGAACCTAGAACACACATAAAAATGTAACAGTGGGTTTGCACATACGTGTGAGAGACAGAGAGAGAGACAGAGGGAGAAAGAGAATTTAACATAATACCACAATGAAACCATAAGAAGGTCCTTCTGAAGGGCTTTACAATAAATAAATGTTCAATATTTATATATATATATATATATATTTATGTGTCGGCATGTGTGTATATATAAATATATATATACATATACACATGTGCACGCTGAATTACAAGTTTCTAGTCCGTTTATTTTTTAAACCATTAGATAAAACTGCTCGTGGGTGACTTTCAAAGCACTGCATCCCTCTCCCCTCCCAAAAACTGGGAGACCTTCCTGCGAGGTGGAAGGCGGAAATTCCACCGTGCGTGGATCCCTCCTCCTCCTCCTCCTCCGGCGCTACCCAAAACCTCCAGAATTGTACAGCAAATAAGAAAACGGCCAAAAAGAGCCAGTTCACTTCACTTTGCACGGTGCCATGAACACCCCCCGTCCCTCCCCGTGCCCCCAAATCAAGATTATTTGATGCCAACGAGCCAGGCTGGAACTGCAGGTTATTTGTTACCAAGAAAAAGCAAAACAGATCTTTTCTCCTCCCAGTAGATGCACAGGAACAGCTTAAATTAGTGGCTACTGTTTGTGTGTGTGTGGGGGGGGAAATAACGAAACTAAACAAAAAAATAAGGAGAAAAAGGCCTTGAAAAATAATGGTCCATCTTGGAAAATTGCTCTCATTTTCCTTGCTGATTTCCACTAATGGCGGAAAAATTCCTCTTTTGAGAAAAAGATTGAATGGCTTATACAAAATTGATGGAAATTGCCGCTGGACAACGAAAAATTGCCACCAAAAATCAAATTGAACGCCCTCCACACTCCATTGTTTCCTTAGGAAGCTTTGTTGAGGCATCCACTGGCTGCTTCCAATCCGTTTTTTTATAATGAGTGAAGAATATCGTTGCATCAAGTCCTGGATTGTGAGTCTCCTCTTCCAAGGAAAAAACAAGAAAAGCTGAAGGTTGTCATCTGTTTCACAGCACTGGGATTGATCTACCACTGCAGTCAAATTCCTGCCTTCTCTGGCCACTTACTGTGTGTCCGTTGGTTATTCCAAATCCAAGAGTTTGCCTTTTTGAAAGTACAGTTCTCGAGCTAGTGGTTAAAAAAAAAACAAACAAAAAAACCAACCAACCAAAAAAAAAATAATCTTAAGGTCGTAGGGTTTCCATACAGCTTGTGTCATGTACCACTGCCATGGTTGGGAGAAAATGGAATGATGACCTAGGAAAGGAAAAGTCAACTCCTCCAGAGGTCTGATCCAGGCCCAAACTGCTGCTGTACAAGGCAGGCCAGCCCTGGGTTCCAAGAGGCACTTGGATTTCTCTTGTCCTCCTCCAAAAACACGCGTCCAAAATTCAGCCGGCGTAAGACTAAATATAAAGTTCCAGATCCAGATTCCTGAAGCGGAATTACCACAGGGCGAATATTCCGTCGGCAAGAGGTGGGAAGAGGAGAGGGGAAAAAAAAAATCAATCATGCACAAAAATGAGACCGAAGTATCTAGTGGTTCTTAAAAAAAAATATATATATAATAATTAGGTTTAAGACAGAGATAGTGCTAAAGAACCTGCATTTGGAGGAATTGTTTTAAATAAAGAATATGTGGTTGGACTGGAGGGGACAGGCACGGCTGGTTTTCTACTTGTCTTCCCAACCTCTTTCTTGGATACGTTTCTGTCTGCAGCGTGGAGGACCCACGAGTTTTTGGGGCTGTGCTTGGTGACGACGCACGTGGAGCTGTCACTAAAGAGCTGACCCTCCCAGTGGGTCTCTTTATCAGAGCCTTGTTTGCTCTCTGTGCAGAAATTCCACTGGAAGAACCATCAGGAACCATCATTGCCCAACACCCCTCTCTCCAGTTTCAGGAGAGACGAACGATCACTTTTCGCGCCGGAAAGATCTTTCTTTTTGTACCTGCTCAGCTCTGCAAGCAGCCAGAGAAGCTCCAGGAATAAAGTAGTACGGATAATTTATGCCAAAGAGAATCTGTCAGCCCGGGAGTTCATGGAGGATTGGTGAAAACCACCAAGATGTTCCCAGGAAAAACGATCCGTCAAAACTGCGTGGACGACTAAGGTGAAGGTCCACTGGTGTCTAACCCCAGTGGGACAGGCACTTATTTCCACATGGTTGGACCTCATCGAAATTCAGTCTACAGGAAAACAACACCAAAAAAAAAAAAAAAAAAAACACCAACGAAAAAAAAAAACAAAAAAAAAAAAAAAAATAAACCAAAACAAAACAGCAACACAGCTGGGTCACCTGTACCCTACAAAGTGCTCATGTCTCAACACAGCGTTCAGATCCCAGAGGGTCCGTCAAACCCTGTTTGTCTCCGTGCGCGGTTCTCCCGCCGCCGAGGGTTCCCCGCCGGGCAGCGGGAGGGTGACGACGGCCGGGCCCCCCCGTCAGTCCTTGCAGGTGTAAACCTCCTCTCTCTGGGTGCACTGCTTGCACTCCACGTAGCAGCACCACCTCACCTGGCACTGGCACGGCCGCGTCACCACCCGGCTCTGCGTGTTGTGCCCCCGCCCGCAGCAGATGCTGTCGCAGTTCTTGTCCTTGTAACACTTCCTCCCCGAGGTGCCCGGCGAGTACCGGCTCATCATGCAGAAACTCGGGGAGTCGTCGATGTACACGAGGTCTGTAGTCCTTGGGATTTGATCGCTGTGCCCGGGGATGGACTTCTTGGGCGGGGAGATGTCCCCTTCCCCCGTGGCCTCGTTGGTGGTGCTGCCCACCTTGAGGGACGTCTCGTACTTCTGCTTCAGCTGCTTCCCGATCTCGTGGAACGGGGAGAGCTGCCTCCAGCACGTGCGGACGGTGCAGGACCCGGACACGCCGTGGCATTTGCAGGTTGTCTCCACCCCGGCCTTGATGACCTGCAGACAACACACGGGCCCCAAGAGACAATCAGTTATGGGGGAAGGAATCAAAACACCAACCGCATTGCTAGAAGACATTTCAGGAACACACCAAGCCGATGACAATTCAATATCTATCTGCTGGAAGAGGAGAGAAAAGTCATCCTCAGAAATCAAGACACCAAACAAAAAAAACCATTTGCTAGAAGACATTTCAGGAACACACCAAGCCGATGACAATTCGAAATCTATCTGCTGGAAGAGGAGAGAAAAATCATCATCCTCCAGGAAATACTTGTTCTAGAAGGGTCCTCGATTTCCAGAATATGACATTTACCTGCCAGAACTTTGCTTAATTGGCTAATTGACGGTACTAGAAAGGTGCACAAAGGTTGCCCAGTCCTGCCACTCATCACGTGGGCACAGATCTGAAACCGTGATGCAACTGAGAGATTAATATATATATTAACACTTATTTATCTATGCCAATAATAACACATAGATAAGCTGTAGTAAAAGTGGAAGAAGTCAGTTTAGTGGGTGTCACCTGCTCCAGAACATGAGCATGGGTAGCAGGAACCTTCTCCACACCACAACACACTGGAACCACCTTAAACTCAAGCAATTTGCAGCACAGGTTCAGTGAAAACATGGTTAAGCTGTGCTGTTCCCACCAGCAGTGACTGGGCTTAACATCCCACACAGCTCACTTCGTGACTGAGGAAAAACATTCACGTTGCTGAAATAAATATATATATATAAAAATATATAAACCCTCGAGAACAACAGCCTGAATCACCATCAACAAAAGCAGCTGCTCCCAAAACATCCAGGGAGCTTCCACCACTCCAACCTGTGTCCAGGATATTATTCCAGACTGTAGCATCATGTTCAAAAGGACTATTGAGTGCAAGGCTTAGTTTCATATCCTTTCTTAAAGAATTGGTTTTATTTATTTTAAAGTTCCAGCTCTTGCAATGGGCGTTGTCATGAGGAATAAGACTCATCTCTCAAGGCCCTCAAAAAAGAGAAATAATTTGTTCAAAATATCTGAAAGTAAATGTGTATGTCTAATTTATTCCCAAAACAAAAAGAAAGGGGAGTCTCCCTGGAGCAAAATGTCCAAACCTTGCTTGGGGAGAGCTTGCATGGGAATGGTTCTCTTCAGAGCACCACAAAATGTGAACAGAGAAGAAAGATCAGAGCCAGTGGAACCACAGTGTTCACACATGAGATGGAGGGAACAGAGAGACAAGGTTATTTTCAACAGCAAAAGCAGCACAGGGAGGAGAAGCAATATCGGGAAGGGAAGAGAAAACAAGGAGAGAGTCAATGGTTCTTGATCTTGGAGAGAGGCAAAGGTGGTCACAGCCCCTGGGTGCTGTAAAGGACCCCAAACCCATGAACTGACTGATGCCCAACAGAGGATCCCATCCTTTTCAAATGAGGCTTCAAAAAAGAGACTTCATGGCGCAAAAGCACATCCACCTCCTTAGGAATGGCATTGGAATGTCGCAGCCCACCTTCCACAAAGAGGGATTTACACCTGGGATTTACACCTGGGATCGTTCCATGAGAGCAGACACATGATCTGGACAGTCACAGATAACCTGCCTTCTGTCCACAGATTATAAACTGATATTTATAGTTCTGATTCTCCCTTCCCCCTAAAATAAGCTGTATTTTGACTTTAAATGGGCAAGGTACAACCACCCCCTAAAATAGCAGGTAATAAGGGTTTGTTTTACAGAGCTGGCTCCTAACAAGGTCCTGCTGGAAGTGCCCTTCCTTTGGGCATCTGTGGTATTTGACAAAGAAGAAAACAACCTCCCCCTCTGCCCATTGTGGCATCTGCCCACGTTGTGGCCTCCTGACAGCACAGGACTGGCTCCAATCCACTTCCTGACCATCCGGTTCTTAATGATTTGGCTGCAGGAATCCTGCTGAGCTCCATGTGCAAATGTGCAATAGGTCATGGACTCGGAATTGGGGCCTGGCCCAATCCTGCTATTCCAGAAACATTTTTAGAAAGACAATATGCATCGCAGAGCCCGGCCAGTGGTCACACTTCATTCCTGTGACAGCCAAGCCCTTTTCAAATGCAACCCAGTAATCCACAGTAGCATTCAAACGAGTGAGGGGTTACAGAGAGGGATGTGTTGCTGCTTAGAGCGCTCAGCTGGGCCGGCCTGGTTAAGGGCTGTCACGCTCTTGTGTGCCAAAGTGTCTGGCCAAGTCCACAAGAAATCCCACAATGTCAGACAAGAGTGTACAGAACACGTTTCAACACCGAGAAGGGGGGAAAAAAATCCAGCCCTCGCCCGCACGGTCCCTCATGAAAAGTCACATTTCACTGCCTGTCCAGAAGCGAGAGCTGAGTTCATGTGAAACAAAGCTCCTCCACCTGATTTCACACCCAGATCATCAGCAGAAATTGCTGAGATCCTCGGAGAAGGGCTGCACACTGCAGCCATTCATCAGCTCAGGCTTTTCTCAACCCTTCCACCCCCTCCTCGAAGCATTTGCATCTGCTCCACCTGGAGAAGGAGACGCCCACCATTGTACAGGAGATGGGAAAGTGAGGAACCAACGGGAATTGGCTCAGCTGGCGGACAATCTCCTGGATTTAGAGCTGATTGAACAGGACAGGGTCAGGAAATTCAGGAAAGGAACCTGGAGACAAGGTTGTTCTGGTCAGGAGCCACCTCTCTCCAAAGCTCTGTGGGAGAGCTGGCATTGCTGCCAGGGCATCCACATGGGGCCGGTAGACAGGGCACAGCACGTGTTGGAAAACCAGATCCTGATGGACTGGCAGCTGATGGATGGAGTCAGGAATAAGCATGTAGGTTTAGGCACTTGAATCACAGCAGCCACTGAGGCAAACATTTTAAACACCTACACTTGAGGAACACCTCTGAACTCCCATCTGACTCAGCAGAGCCAGAGCAGGGAGAGGATCCTGCAGCGAGGCAGCACCTGCTCCACTGAACAGCTCTCCAGGCTCCCACCAAGTGTCCTCACCACATCTCTGCTCCCTAACGAGAGCCTGGGGACCCAGCTCACACAGAGGCACCTCAGTTCAGCCATTTCAACCTGTGAGAATCCCACCCTCTGGGGTGAACTCAGGTGTCTAAATAACACCACTTCAAACAATGCTGCTGAAAAACATCGCTCTTCACCACCAGCTGCCCCTCCGGGGGTCTCTGAGACGGTATCAATGTGCATATTTAGGCAGATGAACTTATTCTCCTCATCTGGGCTCCAACAAAGCCCCTAATGAATCATAGCCTGGTTTTTCCTGACTCACTTCTAGCTCCTTGTTAAGCTGGGACAGCTTTGGTGTCATGCCCTGGTGGCCCAAAGCATAAAAGGTTCCCATTGTCCCCGTCCTCATGAATGCCCCGGTTCATGAAATCCAGCGCGTGGGTTTTCATATGGCCACTGGGCGAGCGTGGGGCATCCCAACCGCCCCATAAACCCGCTCCTGGAAGGACTGGGGAATGACTCAAGAATGTTACGAGGCAGCAGGAGTGAAAATCCTAGAAAAACCTCCTGCCCAGCAGCCTCCCCTGCTGCTGTCAGTCACGACGCAGCTCCCGCAGGCGACGCCTGACGGGGAACCGCTGCCCACGGGCCCCAAACCACCCACGAGCCAGAAGGAGTCTTGGCAAAGCCCTCCCGCTTCTCGTCTCGCTCCCCGGCTTCCACAGAGACCTTCCCTCCTCTTGTTGCAAGCTCCTGTCACAGGCACTTAAATCCACCTCGTTTCTTCAGGAAGCAGAGCAGGGTTGATCCAAGTCAGCAGGTTGCTTGGAGCAGCGCTGGAGAAAGCTTTCCTGGCTGGGCCCTGGGACAAATGAGGAGATGTCTAGAGCATGCTTTCAAACCTGGAGGGGCTTCCAGGACAGAATAAAACGGCTTTTATTACCCAAAAAGTCCTGGGGAGATGAGGCAGAATAAGATTTTATTATAAACTTATAATTTTGTGTTGAAGGTGCCTCATAATAAGGTAGTTCCTGCTTTCTTTTCAAGGCTTATCGTGGCTCAGAGCCAGATTTACTTCCATCCTACACAGACCTGAATCTCTCCTGAACACAAGGCATCACCACTGAATACTCATTTCATCCACACCAAGGCAATGGCCACCTGGAATGCCTCTGTTTTCTCACAGATGCAAGGCAGAATGAATTAAATTAAATCCAAAGCACAAAATATTTCATGCTCCCTCTGGTCCAAACTCCACAGCTACCACACAGCAGCAGAGTTGTAACTCAGGAGTAGAAGAAATAAGGAGTATCCTTTGAGTTATATGCTGTAAAGAGCTTCCACCATGACAACAAAGCCAAACAAAGACAACTAGCGGGTCAGGGACAGCATCACACACGGAAATTATGTCCTCCCTCTCCCCTCTGAACAACCACCTGGTCCGGTAGCCTCAAACAGAGTAGTCTGGGAGGGGAATGAAGCTTTTTGAGCTAATTAGCTTGACTTAGGGACACACATTCCCATTGATCTCGCTGTGAGAACACCAAACACCGAGGAAAACAAAGCGAGACAGAACCATCTTTCCTGGCGTTTGCTGCTCCGAGGAAATTAGATAGGGCTGCTGGACTGGCTGCCCAAATGGCTTTACAAGAGCCATGGGGAGCAGGGATCACAGCAGAGCATTGCTATGCAACATGTAATCCTCCCTCCCAACAATGGTTTCGCTGCGAAGCTCAGACTAAGTGCCCCCGTAATGATCAGTCTCAGACATGCTGCAACACACAATTTCTCAGTGTTTTAGCCGAGGACAGATTCCCATTCATTCCCAGCTGGGTCACGGGGCCCCGGCCGTGGTTTTCAGACAACGCTCTCGTCTGGGCAGCAGCAGTGGGAATTCCTGGGTTATGGCTCCGCTGTCGTCACGGCCGGGCTGCGGCTCCCAGGCTTCCGACCATTCGCTATGGTTTGCGGCAGAGGAGGGAGCGTTGAGCCACCAACACCCCCCCCCCCCGGAGCCAGCTCATCCAGGGAAAGGCCTGCCCCTGCTTCAGAAAGGGTTTTGGGATGCTCCTCCACGAATCAAACCCTTCTCCCATCCCCTCCTCACAGATCCC